GCTAGGTGTCTCGGAGGGCGCCGCAGCCGCGGCCGGCGGGATCCGAGACCGCCCCGACTCTGCCCAGCCCTGCCCGCCGCTGTCCTCGGGCTCTGCGTCCCACTTGCTCGGGAGGCCACGGTAACCAGGGGCGCACACCGAGGGATGGAGGAAGGTGAGCTTGGATGCAGATGCTGGGAGGCGGGCGGCGCTCACCCCTGGAGCCCGCTTCGGGGCTCAGCAGCGTCGCCACCCCGTTATATGTCTCAATTTAAGAAGCCTCAGTGTCCATCTATGGCGAGAGCTGACATGTTCGGATGTGTTACATATTATATTCTTAGGTATGTTACACCTATGCCCTCTTTTTGTAAATGGTTTGATCTGCGGATACATCAGGTGGCGAACGTGCTACTTATCCCTCCAAAATGTGGTTTTTTGTATATTCATCTAGTTTTGCAACTGTCACCACTATCCAGCTCTTTTTTCCCTCCATAATCTCCAAAAGAAACCCCGTACCTGTTAGTTGCTACCCGTTCACTCACTGTGCCAACCCATTGACAACCACTGATCTTTCTGTTCCTATGCATTTGTCCTTAGTGGACACTAATGAAATCTAACAGTATTTGTGGTTCCCCGCCTCCTCCATTTAAAGACAATATTTTGGCTCTTCCCTTAGGGGAGCAGTTCTGCTGTATAGTTCAGGCTAATCTGAATTCACGGTCCCCTTGTCTCAACCTCCCAAGTGGTGAGATCACAGGCTTTTGCCACACCCACCTAATTGTGTGTGTGTGTGTGTGTGTGTCTTTTTTTCTGGCTTCCTTTACATAGTCAAATGTTTTCAAAGCTCATTCATGTTGTAGCAAGTGTGTGTCTGTTCTGTACTTTCTTAAAGCTCAATGTCTGCTTGGATGTGGTCACTATCACATCCTTTCACTAGTTAATGAGGTTGCATTGTTTTTCACCTTTTAGCCATTGGATATAATTAATGCTGCTACATTTGTGGATGTGTGTTTTCAGTGCCCCTGAACACAAACCTAGGCGTGGAATTGCTCAGTGCTTAACTTTTTTAGGCTTTAATCAAAGTTGTTGCTCAATTTTCTCCTCCCACCCAACAGTGCATGGGGGTTGCGGTTTCCTTAAATCACCAACGCTTGCCAGTTTTCACTGGTTTTTAGCCACCCTAGTGGGTGTGACTTGGTATCTCTTTGTGGTTTTAATTTGGATTTCAGACCAGGGATTAAAGCAGTTTTTCCCAGGTTTATTGGCCAAGTGTGTGTCTGTTCTGGAGAGACGTCTAATGAGATCCTTTGCTTCTGTTTTTGCTCGTTTATGTTGTGGTTGAGTTGTATGACCCACGTATAGGAAAAAAATTCTAGATTGGATCGATGCAGATCAAACTTGGGTAAAAATTGACTAAGTGGCGTTTGAGTCTTTCAGAACACCCTTTACCTGGTAATTCTTGGGCATTATTGTCCTTTCTTATTTTTATATTTTTGGTTTTCTTGAAAAAAGCCACAGGAGGTCTGGTACTGGGTCCTGATGAGACTCAAGTTACTGTTTTCCTGTATCCTGTGTTAGCCTGAAAAGTCCAACTTATCATTAACTACAAGTAATTTATGGTGGATGTTGAACAAAGTACTCGAACAAAATTTCATGTGCGTCTGTCTCAGTAAAGTGAAAGGTCTTTCTTCCCACTTCAGTTTGTGTAGTTCGATTGCAGTTATGGTATGTGTGGATGCAAGATAATTTGTTTGCTTTTTGAGGTAAAGTCTTTCACGCTAGCCCTGGCTGGCCTGGAATTCACTGTGTAGACCAGGCTGGCCTTGAACTTGCCGCAATCCTCCTGCCTCTGCTTCCCAAGTGCTGGGATTGCAGGTGCACACCGGCGCACTCAGTGACAACATTTTGCCGGCGCTGAGGTTAAAAGCCACCTGGAAATGAATGAATGCTGCTGTGCTTTCTGCATGGTTGACTGTGGAGTGTGTACAAATCCAGCCTCAGTCTTTTTTCAAAAATTACTAGAAGGGATGACATTTCTCTGAACTCAAGTTCAAGATCAAGTTCTTGACCTCATTGCTGCTAAAGAAAAAAAAATATTTAATGAAACTTGCTGAATGGTGAAGAATAACTGTATTCAAGACCATTGTAGCAGTATAAGGGCCGTGACAATGGGCTTGGCACTGGGGAGACAGATTGGGTTTAACCCTGAGTGAGCTGTGGCTAAGCAGGAATTTATAGGTGAAGAGCAGGGATAGAGGGATAAGAGGAAGCATCCCCAGTGAGGGGGATCCTGGGTAAGTCATCTTAGGATGATGATTCCTGCCGAAGACAAGCCTGGGCTCTGGGACACCATGGTGAAGGATGGGGATCTACCTCCATCACATACCTGGGGAGGACCTTCTAATTAAACTGGCTCGGCAAGGCTCTTTGCTAAAGATGAAATTTGTAAGACGTATGGAAGACTCAGGAAACTGAATAGTTTGGTCATGCAAGGAATCTGTTACTGTTGAAACATATGCTATACAATTTCAGGAGCTTCCTAGAAAAGGAGGTTAAAGATTTCTCAGGAGAAATAATGGAGAGCAAGGGGTAAAAAGGATGGGAGGGACGGCCTAATCTTGCTCTTCATCTGTAACTTATAAAGCGAGTAATCTTTAACTGTTTATGCCTCACAGCCTTTATTAGAAATCAGCTGATGACGTCACTATATAACCTGTGTGCTTTTGCTTTGATTTACCTGTGAGCTTAACACTGAAAGTGTAAACATCGATCTGTTATTGATTGTCCCCGCATGCCCAATAGATGCTTCCCCTCTGTTCCTTGCAGTCTGAATACCACTTGTTGAGAACAGTTCTCTGTAAGCTGGGCATGGTGGTACATGCCCGTGATTTCAGCACTGGATCTCTTGTGAGTTTACAGTGAGCCAGGGCTGCCTCGTGAAACCCTGTTACAAACAAAGAAAATGACCCCCCAGCAAAAGTGTCTACAAGTAGGTAGCCATGCAAACTGACAGGTTTGGGGGAATCGACGATCCCTGGTTGTTTTTTGTTTTTGAGACAGGGTCTCTCTTATGTAGCTCTCGATGTCCTGGAACTCACTATGTAGACCAGGGCTCCTAGAACTCACTTTGTTGACCAGGCTGGCCTTGAACTCCCAGAGATTCACCTGCCTTTGTCTTCCTAGTGCTGAGATTAAATGTACCACCATTCATACCTCAATCCCTGGGAAATGACAGTCTGAGTTGACTTGCCGGGTTTATGTAGTGGACTTCTAGGGATCCCCTCAGCTCTGTGAAATTACTGTAGTTAAGTTTATTTTCCTTTAAAATGCATAGAAATGAACATTGATAATCTCTGTGGACATGTATAATGTATGTATATATGTATATACAAGAAATAATTGGAAAGTAAGGCTGTAGTAAGTACAGAGATTTTGCTCCCCCAAAAAATGTCTGAGTGGGAAAACCTTCTTTCCTTAATTCAGTTCTCATTCTTTTTTCCCAAGTTCTGGCCATTATTTGCCACTCTTTTTAATATGTATTCTTACGAACTTATTTTTACTGGATTCAGAGTTAGAAGTGGGAGCTCCCAGTGAGGATAACCTATGTCTCTTGGCAATCTGTTCCTGGTGTTTATCTTTGGTTTCCTTCATTCGTATTCATTCATATTCTCTCTCTCTCTCTCTCATCTTTTTTTTTTCTTTTTTCAATACAGGGTTTCTCTGTGTTGCCCTGGCTGTCCTGGAATTCCCTATTGTAGACCAGGCTGGCCTTGAACTCAGAGAGATCCACCTGCCTCTGCCTCCCAAGTGCTGGAATTAAAGGCGTGCGCCACCACTGCCTGGCTATCCTTTATTATCTTGGCCATCATGAGTTTAGCATATCCTGCAGACACCTCCTTGTTTTTCTTAGTGTATTGTTTCTCCAGAGCAATATGTCAGCATTTGTGGTGCAGGATACCAGAAGTAACAGGACTCTGAATCTTCGATGCTTTGGTCCTGGGCTTCTTCCCTTCTTTGTTTAAAGGCTCCCTGACAACATATTGGCAGGCATCATCTTCAGAGAGGCTGAAAAGCTTTCGGACCTTGCTGGCTCTTTCAAGCCCCAACTACCAAGGCGAGGTCCAGGAGTATTCTCCTCTTCTTGTAGTAACCAAGTTGAGAACACTCATGTTGCATCCACAACAAATCCTCGAACACACTGGTGCTTCCTCTTGCCAGTTCTCTTTGGTCTATAACAAGAGTGCCTCTCACTGAACAGTGGGCACACTCTGCCATGGGCCAAGACACCTTGCTTCATGGGAAAACCTCGTTTGTCGTTCCGCCACTGATTCAGACCATGCAACTCTAACACTCTTCACCCAGCGCATCAGCAGCTACCTCTGTGGCCTTGCGCTTCTCTCATAGGATGTACAACGTTTGCATTTCCTTCACCTCAGTGGGTTTCTAACAGCCCGTGGCTGGGAAGGAGACAGGCATCTTTATCTAGACGTGACTGACTGCCTAGGAGATGCCACAAAAAGGGGACTTCTTTTTGAGACAGCGTCTCACCATAAACCTTACTGGCCTGGGAACTTACTATGTAAACCATGCTGACCTCAAACTCATAGGAATCCACATGCCTCTGCCTCCTAGTGCCAGGACTGAAGGTGTGTGTTGATGCACCGGACCCAATCCTTCTTTGTCTCTCCTTGCTTCTCCTTGAGGGCCTCTCCTAAGGCCCAGCAGTGAGTCTAGGGTTA